TGGTAAAGTCTAAATATACAGAAGCATTACATAAACTAGATATATATTATTAACCTTTATTTTACTTCAGACAGGAAACACCTACCTGGGTAATCATGTAACCTACAACAGAAATACACTGAAACTCTTACCACATACCTCAGAGTTCATAATGCAAACCACTGTTTGTGGTCTGCAATGCAGGAGATAGTCATTGCTCATTTTACTGATAATAAACATATTACAACACAAATTATACAAAAATAAGTGTAATTTAATAGAATCTTGTGGGGGAAAAAGCCAATGCCTGTGCTTGTAACCAAACATATTTTGTAGAAATAAATCATGAAAATATCTTACTGCCTCCACTTTGCATAGATACACAAACACCAGCGCAGCCTGAAGACATGCACAAGCTTTTAACCTCTGCTCCAAAAACATGATAACACACACACACACACACACACATCGAACTGCATTTTACCTGACAGCCAGTCGATAATCAGCTGGGACAGCTTGACTGGAAGGAGTATTTCCTCGTATGACACCACTTCTCTCACTCTTTCTGTCTTCACATGCGTCGAACAAATACCAAGACATTGAACAAATACTTCACACCTATTTGTTCAATGTAATATCAACCACCAGCTCCCTCCCTCCCTATCTCTCCCTCTCTCTTCCTCTTACACTTCTTTGTGTGTGTTGTAACTCTAAACTCCGGGATCAGGTGTCAGCTAAGGAGGAGAGGAAGAGAGAGAAAGACTATTAAAGAGAAACAACCTGAAGGCAGACAGATTCAAAGACACGCTGCTAGAAAGGGTGGCGCCTCTACCTTACCACTGACAGTACAAGGGGAGGACTAATAAAATGTTAGTTTCCTCTGAAACTCGTTCTTCTGTCGTCACTACGCCCCTCTCTGTTTATTGAATGTTTTGGGTGTGTGTGTGTGTGTGTGTGTGTGTGTGCTATTAATCACACAGGGTTCAGGGTTTGGTCAAGTTCAGGAGTAAGTCTGCAGTGAAATACAGAAACAGAGAAGAGTTTTAACAGGAAAATACACAAGATTATGTGAGTGTGTGAGTGTGGTAAATGTCTGTACCCACAAACTATGAACTGGCTCTGTGTTGTGGGCATATTAACTCAGTCATAATACACTTACAAATACATTAAACACTTACTAAAATGCTATAAAACCTAAAACACCTACCGAAAGCTGGAGGGTGCAGTCTAGATAGTGACTTTGTGAGCATCTCTTACTACCTGAATGCACTACAACAGACAGGTTTGCATTCAGTGGTTGATAAGCTTCACTGAAAGCTGCCTTTAAGCAAATGAGCTGGAAAGATGTTGTCTTCACCTAAAGAATAGTCATTATCTGTGACATGCAGACTGTCTCTATTATAAAGTCATGTCTCCTTAATGTATTTATATTCATAAAATGTGTTGTTTGATGTTAAGTATTTATCACATCGACTCATACTGTTATATATGGTGTGCTTAATTTTTATAATGTTGGCTTTTAACTGTAAAACTTGAATGAGTTTCCCTTCTATTTCCTCATACTAGTTCGCAAAAATAAACTGCCCTGTCCAGTGTTAAAGAGGGGGCATGATACCTTCACTGACAGCCTATGATGCATGATACTAGAGAGACCACTAGAGGACAGCAGCTCCTCTTTCCATCACTGGAGTCTCATCTGACTCCATGACAGAAGAGGGCCAAAGAAAATAAGTTTCACTGCATTTTGGCCCAAGTGTGATGATCTTAAAAACATAGTGATGTATGTCGGGAAGAAAGCAGTCTTTATAAAATGTGTCTTTATTTAAGAATAAATATTTGAATTCATTTGTCTGTGAGAAGAGCTCCGTTTCTCAAGTGGTAGACCACTGGATGTGGTCTTGTTTGGGTTTTTCATTTTTTTGCACTCTACACAAAGTCACACAGTCATACTGGAGCCTTCCCAGAAAAATGTGAGGAATTTTGTGTGTTTCATACCAAGAGAGCTGAGATGAACCCGTCTCACCCCAGATTAAATATTGTAGCTGACTGTGCCTATAGGACATCCCAACAAATGTCATAAAATGCTCAGGTTACAGACTTAAAATGTGATGAAATTAAATCCTAAAAGCGTTATGTAAAAATGACATAACATTACAGCCATTCACGATCATTACTGATTATTACATCATCAAGGTCTGACACTTCTTTGACTTGTAATGTAATAACACCACCAGCTTACATCAGTACGCTGCAGACTTTATTACATAGCATTTGCCAGTTTTGTAATTAGCTGATGTCAGTGCATTATCTGGCAATTGTACCTAAACTGATTTTAAAACTTTAAAATTCCTTTTGACTTTTGATGACACTAGTTGCAACCGATTTTTCTCTCCTTTTAATTTCATTTTGTTACCTTCATTTTCAGTTTGATTTCAGTTTCACTGTGATTGCTTTGTTTAAATTCTGCAAAGAGGCGACGCAAATGATTAAGCAAATGATTTTAAAGGCTGAGGAAGAGTTCTCCAGATCTTTCCAGCAACCACCTGTTGTCCAGACAAACCTGAGTGTTTGTTGTCTCAAGTGGAAATGCTGAAAAGAATCTCATCCTCCACAACCAGGATTTAATCTTGATTCTGGGGGTTTCAATATCCACTGTACAGTTCCCTGGGTGGCTGCAGCGTGATTACGATCGTACTTGTCATCCTTAGAAAAAAGGCACTATATCATTCACAATCTTGCAAATCTGCAGTACACAATATTGAAGAGGTGTGTCAACCCTCTGACAACATTCACAGTCCTTCCCCATCACAGCATAAATCTTATTTAACAAGGACATTGGCAATGATTCAGAAATTGAGTGCCACATCCACGCCTGTGGTAAACATTTCTCCACCCCTGATAAAAAAAACAAACCTAACCCTTCTGAGTTATCTGTGGGTGTACCAGGACCTATGATGTGGCCTTCTCATACAATTTCCATGATGTTATGCTCAGGTAAAAATTCAGGAGTCACCTAATAGCCCCCACTTACCCATAATTCACCCATACAACGCCTGATTAGGCCTCTTCTGAGACATACCAACAACTTTAACAATGCTTCCTTTTCAACTTTCAACAAAATATTTTAAAATAGCATAAAATCAATCAAAGTATTTAAGTATTAAAATAGATCCTCCTGAAATTGCATTCACTAAATTAGTATACTTGTACTTTATATGCTACTTTATTCCACTGCAGTACATTTCAGAGGGAAACAGTGGCCAGTTGCTTTTCAGATCCGGATTTTACATGTAAAATATGTAGGGATAATTAGAATAATGTTGTAGATTAAACCACCCTACAGTTCAAATAAAACTAGCCTTTTCTCAACCTGCACCAACACACTACTTATTTATTAATATGTCAGTAATAGTAATAATACAATAACGTAATACAGTAATAGAATTCTCATAGGCCATTATGTAAAAGGAGTACTTTTTGATACTTAAAAGTGCATTTCACTGATAACAACCTAACTTACTTCTGTACGCTCACTCGAGTGGGCTTTACTTGAATAGAACAATCTAGACCCGTGTAGCTACTTCAACCCTAATTATTATAAGTAAAGACTTAGATGGGAAGGTGTGTCTTCTGAGAAGTATGGAAGATACTCTGTTTCGCTATTAATGGGAAGTTTCAGTAGTATTTCACTTTTGGTTCTAGCTAACTCGCCGTTGTTCTGTCCGGTTGAGCGTTTAGTCGCGCGTTAGTGTGCACGCACACTTTATGTTTATGAGAGGGTTTCCCCGCACTGCACGTGCGCGTACAAACTGGCTTGGCTACAAACGAGCGCGCGCACAGCTTTTCAGTTTTTTAAACCCTCCAGTGAACAGAGAGAGAGAGAGAGAGAGAGAGAGAGGGAGAGAGAGAGGCTGTCTTGTCGCTTCCGGCTTCACACACTCAGACAAACAGCGCTTTACTACGAACACAGAGGTGTCGAGCTGCACGCATGACAACAGAAAACCTCCCCAGAAAAACTATTTCTTCTGAGAGCAAACTGTGAGAGAGGATTCCACTGGTCGGTACGAAGTGCTTGGAAGTTTTCCTAAAAAAAAATATATATATATATAGCCAGAGAGAAAACACTGGTGGAAGAGAAAGACATTTTGAAAGCCTGTCCTTCTTCTTCTTCTGAGGAGGAGGAGGAGGAGGATTTTTTTGGTGAAAAAGGTGAAGAAGCGCGAGAGAGAGAGAGAGAGA